CATACCATTCTGTAAGTCAAACTGACCCAGGAAAAACTGAGTTTTTACTTAGAACAAGTTGAACTTTTATTTCTGAATGCAAATGAAAACCACTTTTGAAGCCTCAATTACAAAACAATTTACTAATGTTGGATGGGAACAAAATGAGTCAACCACCAAAATATAAAACAGAAAAGTTCCATAAATACACCAAAATTCTTTTGGCCAGAATTTCCATTCCATTTGTCCAGACAGATTTGTTAGCTATAGGGTCCTGAGGAACAGCGTTTGCTTTGGGGGCAGATTCCTATCAATGAAAATATTGTATTCATGTTGTTTGTCTCAGTAAAGGCATTTTCTTTTTTGGTGGCTTATTAATCCTTGTGAAATGGCACAGTTGCATAGTTCTAGAAGGCAAGTGCTTCACAAAGTTATGAACAGATTAGCTCTGTTCCCAGCCTCAGGCCTTGGGAGCTGCTCCTCCTGGTGACATTCTAGTTTCAATGTGGAACATTTGGGGTCACGTTACTCTGAAAGCTTGTATTTTCCAAAGGGCAATTCTTCCAGTAAATCTACAATTTTTCAAAAGGTTAAACGAAACTTTTCAAATAAATATATATTCTATTTTTAATAATTAGCTCAATTTTTAAGTCAGGATGAAAAACATCTATAATGTCCTCAACTGTATAAAGGGTAATTTTATAATTGTAAAACTTTCTAATTTTTCCCTATTAGTGTTTGGTCCTTATGTCCTAATAAGAGAACCTTACATTTATGACAAGCAATCAGGTTGCAATACATTATTTTACTTTTTATTCTGCTTGATTTTCCAACTGCCTCATAAATTAGACTATCCCATATTAATCCAGTTCCACATGAATGAAAAGAGTGACGCTGAGCTCTTGAGTCCAGGCCTGATCGGTGGGACACAGCGAAGCCTGTGATTCTGTCCACTCCTCCTGTTAGGAGCCTGACACTTCCTGCGCATGAGATACATTTATTGGCCTATGTGTGGGTTCACTCCTGTCATTTGCAGGCTGCACGTGCAAAGACTACAAAGGGAGCCCTCCTATCACTCATCTAGTTAAAATTCATAAAAGCAATTTAATAAATTAATGAAATTCTAACTTCCTTTCTTGATAAATATGCCTTCAAAAGGAACAAAGAGATAAAGAATCTGGGGGTTCCTCAGAAGTCCATGCAGCCCATGTCCACACTGCAGTTTTTCACTTCCAATGCCTGCTTTTTCGGAGGCAGGAGTAGCTCGGAATAGGAAGCTGCCTAAGCAGCACACACACGTGCACAACCACTGGGGCCTCTGAGGCCTTGGAAGGAGGTGGACGTGGAACAGAGGCGGACGTGTGCCCTCCAGCCTGGCTCAGGCCACCCTGCATGACTTCTGGGGTCTCTATTGCTCAGCTCAAAGTACGATCCAGAAAAAGGGCACAATCTTGTCACCTGGATGGCTCCTGGCTTTGGGGGTGGGGGGGGGAGGCCAGATGAGAAGAGGGCAAGAACGTCTAAAACTGCAGGGGCCTTGTCCGGGTCTGAGGGTTAAGCCAGCGTATAATAGGATAGAAACCAGGCCCACTGCTGACATCAAATCTGACAGTGCAACTCCGAGATAGATGTGTCAGGGAACCACTGAGCATTCAAGGGGTTCTTGAGCCCCCATCCAGTTGGTTCATTGCCTTGTTTTCTTTCTTTCTTTCTTGTGCAGAAGATCGAGCTCAGGACCTTGTGCTTGCCAGGCAGGTGCTTAAGCTGCTGAGCTATCTCCCCAGCCCATTCATTTCTTTTTAAGTGGATTGATTTCCTAACTTTTTTTATTTTCATGGCAGGTGTTTTTTGGTTTTTGGCTTTTTGTTTTTGCTTTTTGCTGTTGCTTGGTTTCGGGCTTTTGTTTTTGTTTTTGAGATAGGGTCTTGGTAAGTCATTCAGATTGGCCTTGAACTCACTAGAGTGTCACAGAACTCACTAGCCCCAGACTAGCCTTAAACTTACGGCAATCTTCCCAAATGCTGGGATTAAAAGTGTACACCACCTCATCCAGGAGATTTCCTGGTTTGTAATTTGTAAATAATTACAAAGTCAGCTACAAATCCACACCTTCTGTTTCTTCCCTCTGCAAGCTCTTCCCACACTGGCTCATTGAGGTCAAATGCTTACTGCTCAACCAGGAGAAATCCTTGCTTTCCTTGAGGAAAGGCTTTGGTATTTCAGCTTTCAGAGAAAGCCAAACACCTACACAGGAACCTACCTACAGCTTTGCAACATTGGCTACATACAAAAAGTTCTCATCTGGATATTGTCCTACATGGTGGGGTTCTCTATTGAAAGAATTCACTTTTGCAGAACTGAATGAGGTTGGTCTCTAATCTCAGAAATCTTAGGGCACCCTCTACTCTAGATAATACATGCCTATATCTCTAATTCCATTATATACTATTTTACATTAACAGAATTAAAAGTATACTTAAGAATGAGTGAATCTGGACTTGCAAATGAAAGGAAAGAACGGTATTTATTAGATGCATTAGCATGCTGTGTCTGCTTTTTTTCTGAAATTCTGGTCTATTTGTTGAAAACAACTTACCTTGTCACCCTTATATCCAGGAATTCCCTGATTAAGAAAAAAAATGACAAATTAAAATATATTCTATAGCAGAATTAAAGGGAGTAGTAGATGCTTTTCACAGATAAGGTATAATAAAAAATATCCACACAAAGACCAGATGAAGGTAATAATTTTACTATTCATCGTGTGTGGGGAGTGTGCATTTACTAAGAAGTAAAGAACCCCTCTCTCTCTTATATTCTGTTCTCAGCCAAATTATTTTTCTCAGTTTCTTACCTGTTTAGTCACAAACTGAAGAAAATGTACCCTGAATGTCATTGCAGAAGTGACCATTCATAACAGTCATTTCAAAATTGTTGTACTGTATTGATTTTTAAACTATAAACCCCAGCAGTTGCAAATGTGTTGCAGAAATTGTTAGAGAAATTGGCTCTGAAAACGAACTGAGCTTAGTGTCCTCGAGAAAATACAGAAGTGTCTCCACCCTTTGTCATCCTCCTTTCAAATCCGATCTAGAATACACAGGGTCCAGGAAATGAATGGTTCCTCCACCCACCCTAAGGACGCTGACCTCTAAGGTACTGTCTTCTATCTCAAGCTAAATAAGGAGCCTTGCAGCAAGGCTGGTGTCTTCTAAGCCAGTCCTGGGAATCCTGCCCTGCCTTCCCACTGTGGCGATCAACTCTTGACTAATACATACTGAATAGCAAATGCACTGGGAAATTACCAATTCTGAACCACATCACATTTTTCCAAATGAGATTTCATGGCTTTTCCCTACAACTATGTTCTTAAGAAATGAAAATAGAATTATAGGTCATATTTAAAGTAAGCTGGTAGGGCCAGCGAAATAACTCAGTGGACTAAATGTCTGCGTAGGCAAGTGCAGGAACCGGGGTTCAATCCCTGGCACCTCATGCCATGCCGGCCCTGACCCTGGCCCCAGGTATGCTGAGCCAGCCACCAAGTCTGAGCATGGTGGTACAGGCCTGTAATCCCAACACTGGGAAGGCTGAAAACAGGAGGATTGCTACAAGTTGGAGCTGCATAGTGAGACCCTGGACCAAAAAAAAAAAAAAAAAAAGTAAAGCAAGCTGGTAACAAGCTATTATTACAGCTATATACAATTCAGAAGTTTTGCCCAGTGACTTTCTTTTTTTTTTTTTTTTTTTTTTTACAAAAAGGAACCTTCATAAAGGAAATAATAACTCTTCAAAGAAGTGATCATTGAGGAACATAAAAATACAATTAGTCAAAGCTATGATTACACTACAGTTTAACCCAGTTTTAAAATGTATATTCAAATGAACTGATTAACTTTTAGAATTGGGCTTAAAATGAAAAGCTACATTATTAACAGTTAAGTTAGAATTCTCTATTAAAATTATTCCTGTCTAAAGAGATGAAAACCACCAAGACACATTACATCTATGTATCAGTTTCCCAATGTGAATGTAACTGTTATGAGTCAGAAATGTACACTAATAAAAAATGTTTAAGATCCTTCATGTCTATAGTTCCAAAAGAGCCTGAGTTTCTGATTTCAGGAATCTTTAGGCCCTCATCCCTACTATAACACAACCATACATAACATTCTGTCTTTACTTTATGTTACAAGGTGGAGACTGTATTTTGAAAACAGACAATACGACTCTAAAGAACTAAAGGAATGTTACTTTTTAATAGAATGTTTCTCTCTGAAATCCCTATAATCTTATTGCTTGATTGCCAAACCAGCTTTTCCCATTTCCTTTTTTTTTTTTTCTTCATGTAGTACAGGGTCTACAGGGTCTCACTACACATCAGACTCATAGTGGTCCCCCTGTTTTTCACCCTCCCAAGCGCTGGGATTACAGGTGTGTGCCACCACACCCAGCCTCAGTCACCATTTCAGCGCACCCCAGGGGCAGAGCTGGCGTGGCACACTTCAGATCGAACCCCAGCCTCTGTGTTCTGCCTAGGCAGGTGCTTTAATCTGCTGAGCTATCTGGCCGGCCCTTCTCTTCTTATATCTTTTTTTCAAGGCATACTAGTTACTAGTTTTAAAATAGCCAAAAGTACACTCATTAGTTTCTGTCCAGTTTGCTTCTGACTTTCCTATTTCTAGTAATGATACTATCTCATTTCAAATCCCAGCGTTAAATTTTATAATCATCCTAGTTTTCTCTTTCCTTTACTTACTGTTATACCCCTTTAATCTCATCTATTCAAAATTCTCCAGCATAAAATTCTCCACCAGCTTCCCACTGTACCTGGCTTGAAATTTGCTCTTCTGACTCTAGCCCAGCAGGCCCTATCTGTCTGGCCCCCCCATCTCTCTGGCCTCAGCCCCCATCACCCTTCAGTAACAGATTCTAGCAAGCTTGCCTTTCTTTTCCACAGACAGGCCCTTGCTCTTCTTGAATACAAGCAATTCTCCTTCTGTTGTAGGCAAGCAAATAGGTAGAAATAGTATAGGCAGTCAGTTCTAGGCCCTCAAAAGAGCCAGTATGGAAGACAAGATACCTTGCAACTGTGGAAAAGACAGGCACCTCTGCTGTGGGCCAGACCTCAGGACAAAAGATGAAACAAATGTACCCACATACCTCCATAAGGCTAGCCAACAGGGTATTCTAAATAGCTATGTATCACCTTGAGAAATCTAGGAAGATTTACTAACCCAATCCCCTACAGGAAAAGCCCCTGTATTCATGCCCACTTGCTACATGATTGGCTTCCCCATTTGATCCCAATTTAATCAATTTTACCTGAGCAGTTATACTCATAATCTTATTGGTTGACCACAATCTTGTTCCACCTTATGTCTACCTTCAGAATTCTCGTGTTTCCCACCTCGCACCCGCCTCACCTTGTGATTTTGTTCTATAAAAATCCCTGGAGAAGGCAGGTTCTTCAACAACCCCCTCCGGTCTCCTCTGTCTCTCTGTCAGACAGAAGCTCTCTTTCTCCCCATAAACATTCTGGGCTTATCCTCTATGGTTCTTAAAATTCATTCTTTGATTTGGACAAGAACACAAACTTGTCCCAGGTATCTTTCCGGTTGGGAGTATC